CCTTAATTGATAATTCCCCTTAAGCTAGTGATCGCTAATGAAATGCATGTTTATTGTCTAAAACGTACTCATTCCCATCTCATTTAATTATCTCATTTTAAAAAAAAATAGGATTAGCTAATTTAGTTATCTCATTTTCGATTATAATAAGATAATATTACATGTTATATATTTCAATTATAACTTTTATCTCAAAAGGAGATAAAAATGAGATATGGTTTTTCACAATTGATAATTACACTAAGTCATGTCGAAAATAAAAAAAAAATAATTCTTAATTATTGTAATAAATAAATTTATTAGTAATTATAAATAAATAAATCAGGTAACTAAATTAAACAAAGGAAATAATATATTTTAGGACAGATTAACCAAGATAAAAGGGAAATATAAATCACCACATATATATAGACTTGATACCAACCTAACACGTATTGTTGGTATAAATTAATTAATCAAGATTAAAGGAAACTACAGATCACAACTGAAGATTCAGGCATAGCCCTTTTTCTTTTTTTTTTCTTTTTTTTTTTGTTTTACATTTGATGGATAGTTATATAATAAGAATAGTCTTTCTCTTCCAAACTTTCTACCTATTTTAAGATTCAAATTTAATTTGTTCAACATAAAGATTCAAGTTTTTAAATTTTGAGTCATTTGTAAGGACATATATAGCCAATTAGGACAGTGTAAAGAGTTATATTTAAGATTTATTTGTAAGTTAATCAATTACTTATATATATCTATATATAGAAATCGAAAGTGAAAGGGAGCTTCTCTAATACTGGAAGTCCACGGCCTATTAATAGTTAAAGGAAGTGTAATTTGTGAAGGATGATTATATATCTAGTCTCTAATCTTTATGGGTTTTTTTTTTTTTTTTTTTTTGGGTTAAGAAAAGAAAAAGAAAAGAAAAAGACGATTCTCTTCTCTTCACCTATATGCGTGTTCCTTCTGCCCGGTATATTCTTCCACCATCCTGTATAAGCTGCATACAGCTCCAGAGACCCCTTGAAGTTTCAACCCTCATCCTGCCCCATCAAGCAATATAAATAACAATTGTTAACAAGAACAGCTTCAAATAATTTAAATCTCAAAGTATATTTTTATTACATTGCATAGATTATGCAACTGTCTCACATCTCATGATCGAAGATGCATAGTTTATTGGCCTACACATTGCTTTATATAAATGGGATTCTCTGTTAACAATTCTCTTTAACCAGTCGAATATCAGTTTGATCATCCAAACTTATCTGCCTAATCAATCTAGGCGCATACGCCTAGAAACACAATCTCGCTGCATAAGTGAGGCACATAACCACCACTTAATACCTAAGGCTACGCATGCTTTTTGCAACACTATTATTTGGAGTTTAGAAATTTTAAATTGGAACTCATTTATAACTGTACAAGACAAATAAAAAAGATGAAAAAGAGTGATCTCAATCTTGTGTACTATACAGAATGAACAATTGTCTCCTTGCTGGGGTCTCTGGTGGAGGTTGGCTGGAAGACACTTCCCTGGTTGAGAAATATAAGATTTCGGATGAAGAATACAATAAACGTGATGGTAAGTTCCAGAGGCAACTTATCGTTCTAATTTTATAGGTGTGAGGTGAAGTCCACAATATTTCTTCACCTGGTAGGATTCCTAAGAACAATTTTATGATCTTGAACGCCCATTTTAGCTAATCACACACCATATTTATTGCATCTGACTAATCTGCATATAGAACCACTGTCTATCTCAGAGGCATCATTGGTTCAATATGACATGGAGTTTGTAGCTACTCGATATACTTATGTGCTGCTCAAGATGTTGCTAGGGGCTAATAGTTTTCTGAATTTATGGTGGTTTTCCTTCTCTTCTTCTTTGTAGTTTCTTTTTTTATCTTATACTTAAGAGATTTTCTCTTTAGTCTTCTGCCTTTTATTTAAAGACTGAATGCTACAACAATGAAAATTGAGAATTTTTTATTATCTTTTAAAAAAGGATGTTCTCTCTTTATGAAGTTATTTCTCATATTTGTATTTTCTAAAGCATACCATTACCATTTTTTTTTTTTTTTTTGTTCAGGTACTTTCAGAAAATTCAAGGAAAATTTGGCATCTCAAAATGCACCAGCTCTTGGGACCAAAGTAAGCATCTAATATCTTATGATTGTTGCATTTTGGCGTAACATGTCTCATCAGCATTCAGTCATTAACTAACATTATAAGCAAGTAGTCATTTGCAACGCCTCTTACTACATCATTGTGACATGGTATTATGTGCCATTGCTGGATGCTTTATTGGTCTTGCTTAATCTTAAACTTCTTGACAGACATCAGATGACAACATGCAAGACCTCTGCACGAACATCAAGGTAAACACTATATTTTTTTTCCTTCATTCTGTCTCAGAACACTTGTCAAACTGTCAAAATGCTGTTACGACTCATGAGAATTAAGAGAAATCTGAAGTAATAATTATGCTTGGTACTAAGGCATGTTTTTAACTGATAAAACTAGCAGGAAGAAGATCATAGCATGTTACATATTGCTTAGCCCTTCTTTACATTGATAATTTCGACAAGAACTACAGTATTTAGTATCTCACTATGAAGAAAAAAATTGATAAATTTATAAATATACCTTGTTCTTCTGTTCCTGTCTTCTTACTTAATGGGAAGGTTCTCCATTTTCCAAAAATGATTTTGTTTCTTTTTTGGTAGAAAATAAGTTTTAACTTTTATTTTTCTTTCATTATCTTAATATATCTAAGCTATATCTGGTTGTTACTTTTTATTCCTAGAGTTTATGCCTTACCTTTTCCTTTTCAGGCAGTAAACAGACGTCAAGTAAAACCAGGTGCAAAAAGAGGGGTTGTCAATATGTGGGTCAGGCAGAAGCTCTAGGACCAGGTTTCTGGATTGGAGTTCAGTATGATGAACCATTAGGAAAACACGATGGCATGTAAGTAAACTCTTCGTTGTAGATCTGTTGATAACTTCAAGATGCTTTATTCCAAATTTTCTCCACTCTTCCATTATCAATATATTCCTTGTTGCTTCATGCTATAGATTGGTGCTTTCCGTTGATTATAAATTCACATAAAGAATGATATTTAATATTCGTGTTGAACGTTTCATAAAAAAAAAATGTTGAAGGTTGTATATAAGGATATCTTGGTTGAATATGCGAGGATATTATGATACTGTTCATTCCAAGTACTAAATCATGTCAATTAATGGTTCCTTTTGCTGAATTCAAGTCTCAGCTTATTGCTTTTCAAGTTCTTTTTCCCCTACTTTTTGGTGGTCACTTGTTTAGTCATGTCAATTAATTTCTTTTATGTTGAATCTTCCTTGTTTTCAGGGAACATTTTCTTCTGACTCCTTGTGCTAGACAGAGTAAACTAAATAATCATTCTTTCTCTGTATTTCATTAGTAATCATGCATGTTTGTTACAAAATTTGTTGATTATGATGAAATGTAGGGTGAAAGGAGCACGTATTTTGACTGCCCTCTCCTTCATGGTGCAATGGTTAGGCCAAACAAAGTAAAGGTTTGTATGCAATATCACAACTTTGTCTAGAAATACTTTGGCTGAAATTTTATGTTCTGGGTTTTACTTTTTAACTAAGATATGAGCATCTCAGGGTTTTGGTGAATAACTGCATATTTACCAGTTTTTGGTTGGCTACCCATCCATAGGGGATGGGCATATTTACCAGTTTTTTCTTGTGATATGCCTGCCAATCTGATCTGGAAGTTAGGATTATTTTAGGATTTTGATTTTTTTTCCTTTAGGCGCCATTGGAAGATATATGATATATCAAATCATTAAATACTTACCTCATTTTTATGCATCTTAATTCATTGAAATTGATTTTTCTTATCATTTCTCAGGTTGGTGACTATGCTGAACGAGATCCCTTTGAGGAAGATGAAACATGATGTAATGAACAGACAATTTCTGCATTTTATCATGTTGAATTGTTGATACACTATAAATGGAGCTAAAAGGTTTCGATTGTTTAGATGGGATCTTATTATAGCATTTTAACGAGCTGATGACATGCTGAATGCAGAAATTGTTTATAAAGGGAGGGTAAGAAACTGAACTTGTATTGCTGCATTTGGTTATATCTTATGTTGCCGTGAAGCATGTATATGGAATTGAGAAATAGAGAAAATGTGATGAACTAATGATAGTTTAAATCAAACAATTCCTTCCATAAGTGAGAGAGAAATTGAGTATCTAATTCCAGATGATGTCGCAGGGAAGAAGAAAATCTTGAGCTGCATGGTTTCACACTCTTCTACTTGCATGGTCATTTTCAATGACAACTGAATGTTCCCTTAAGCCTGACGTTTGCAGAATAAACATAATTTATGTGAAGAGCTTTTAGAACCATCGTTGTGTTTCCTTAACATAGTGTTCAAGATGCAGCAAGGGTGAAGACGGACATTTTATGAAAGAACATCAAAAAAACAAGAAGGATAAAAGCAAACTCCAACATGTAAGGAATATGTTGATCCAAAAAGAAAAAAGAGGAACAGATGAAGTAATGTTATAAGTTTAGGATGATAACGCGGGATAGATTAGTCTCGAGCTGTTTGAAAACTGGCCCGAGGATATCAAACAGTGCAAACAAAAAGAAAAACTTTAGGGTGCCAAATGCAATTTTCTTCAAACAAAAGGGTCAAATGAATTTTACCTAACAGTAAACCAAAATTTCCCCTGTTTTAGAAGAGTAGGAAGGACGAACCGGCAGCAAAACCAAATTCCTTTAACTTTCACTTCACCTCTTCCTTTCTTCGATTTCTTTGCCCAAAAGGGTGCTCCCAAAATCTCATCTTTTTAGCTTTTGAATCCAGATACAAGCAACAGAAAGCTGAAGAAACAAAGGAAGAACAGATGGCGATGCCATTGGGGATGGCTCTGTGGATCTCAAAGATGGTGTGGGTGGCTCTGAGAGGGTGGGTTTCTTCTTGCTTGACCGTCGCCGATGAGTTCGCTAGCTCTCTCCGAAGCGGTGATATTGGGCCCTTTCATGTTGGCTGATTGACTTTTGCTCTATTCTCTCCGGTTGGTTTCTTATCTAGTTTTGCAAATTTTATTTCTTGGGTCATGATTTATTTTCATCGTTATACCCCAATTCTGTCTCTTGTTTAATGATTTTAATTGATTAGTGCTATTTCTTGTGCTAAGTAAAGCAGGTGGTGGCTTTTGGGAATTTCAATTGCCCTGTAGCTGGTGCTGGACTGTTTGCAAGGAATGTATTTATATATTACATGAGTGACTTCCTAGTATGCTTCAAACTCAATTATTATGTTTATGGAGTTGATTCATCCACAATCTTATTTCACAAGCCATATGTCATTAAACAAGTGTATGCATACCAATTCATGAACTTTCCTTAGAGTCATTACTGTCGTCGTAGTAGGACCATGAGTGGTGAAGTAAACTTGTGGATGAATCAATTTGCTTTTGCTTTATATGCTTCAACATCTGTGAGAGGACTCAGATGTTTTAGTAGAAGAAAATAGTCTTGAAAACCTTTCCATCAAAGCCATGTTCAAATTCTCATTCCCTGAATGGAAGAGTTCTGCCATCCAATTTACTATCTTTGATAGTAATTAGATAAAATAACTTTCCTAAATTTCTTTGCAACTGTAAAGAAGATGCAATGCAAGTTTGATGCAAACAAAATAGTATGCAAAAACATGCAAATTTGATGCAATCATAAGATTGACTTGATTTCCTTCGTATTTTGTTGCAAAGTATGACAGGTTTAGATCATCTAGATTTCAAACTAATGAGGTATGACCTTAATTGTTTTGCTATTTTTTTGTTTTAGTGATGCTGAATGGGTTGAAAAAATGAAAATTAGTCTGTCTCACCCTCGATGTAATGCTCAGTATAGCCATTCATTTGTTACATTTTGTTACCTAAGTGATGTCGCAGTTTCTTGTGTGGTTTTTGGTTTTTGGTTTTGTTTCCTTATCATTCACATTGTGCAGATACAATTGGTGGTGTTTCCATACAATGCTTCTACTACTGCTGAGCATGAAGTAAATTGACTGAGGATAATAAAGATATATTTTAAGTAGTACTAATTTCTTTATATTTTGGTTTTGTGGTTAACTCTTGGAAAAATTCTGCTGTGTGTCTGTGATCCTTGTGACATAGTATCTCATATCATATCTCAGGTTTCCTAGCCAAAAGCAAACTGAGACCTTAGAAACGTCTAGGCATGTGAAACCTCTGCAGAGATGTCCAGCCAAGTTGTTATCTTGTGCTGTGAAACATCAGCAGAGGATTCCACAATACCACAACATGGAGCAGACATTTTCCAACTCCATTAGAGTTATTCCAGCTTATTCTGTTGGGATTACCTTAATTTTGATGTTTTCAAGTTATCAAAAAGAAAAGCCATCTGTTTGATTTTGGTTCAGCATGGTTAATTTGGTTTTTTCAATTTTTTGGATCAAGCAAGATCTTGAAAAGGTGCAAATTCTAAGGGGCTGTTTGGTGGTGCTTATTTTTTTGGGAGCTTATAAGCAGCCTTATATCTTGAGTTTGAAAATATTTTGAAGGGAAATGATGATTGCTTATAAGCAAGTATTGCAAAATAAATGGTCTTGTAGCACTTTTATATATTGGGATTTAGGTTTGTAATGTTGATGTCTTCTGCCCTTAACAGTAGATTTTTCCATTCTGCAGCTGGCTGCATGTTGCTGCAGGATCAAGGCTAGGCATTCCACCTTATTCTCATTTTGTTCTACTCCCGTATTTCCTTTGAACCAAACACAACAATGAGAAAAGAAAATCTAGGGATATTTCAAGTTCCCTCTTTATTCTCTAACTAAAAATTCTTCTCATTCAAAAAAAAAAGAAAAAAAAAAGAGATAAATCTCATCTTTTTGGATCAGCTGTTCGAATCGAATGTTAATTCTTAATTAAATTTGCTATTCAAATGTTGTTAATATTAAAGATGGTGGAGATAATTTTTTAATATATTTTTAATAATTTTTTAATATAATTTTTATATATTATTAAATAAGTAAATATATTTAATATTATAAGTTTTAAATAAATAAAAAAAATTAATTATTTGAATAAAACGTAAAATTATATTAAAAAGTGATAAAAAAATCATTCTGAAATTATTTTCTTAATATGAATATCCAACAATCGGTCATTGTTATCCTTTTGTCTATAATTCAATTTGTTTAATTAGAGACGGTATTCACCTGCCAATTAAAACAAAAAATATTTAACTACGAGTATTTACTTCTTTTTAAATAGATAAAAAAAAAAAAAGAGAGAAAACTTCTAATATGTAAATTTACACACATGACACTCATAATTAATTATTATTTTCTTTTACATTACAATATAAAATAAATTATTAAATTAGATAGATCTGTTAATATAAGGGCAAACTCTTCTGGTCCGTTGCCGACGGATTAGAGGGGGACTTCATTTTTTTTTTTTTTTGGCATTTATGGTCAAATATTTTTGAGTTGAATATTATAAAAGTTCGATACAAAATTTATTAAATATTTATTTATCAATAGATTAAAGGAGGTGAATTCTTCTAAAATAATGGTTTGTATTTTATAATCTAATTTTATTTTTATTTTTAAAGTTTTCACATGAAAGAAAAGAGAAAATACACTT